ATGTGAATCTGACCAATCCCAGGCAGGAGGCCTGGCAGTGTGGAAGATTAGCTCACAAATATGGGAGAGCTTGGTCAGCAGGGGAGTTGGGTGGAAGATGTGGAGCCTGGGAGGGGGCCGTGGAGTAGGGGAGTCTACCTACAGGCTAGGAGGTGAAAAGAAGGACCTCCACTGTTCTACAGTCTGCTGGAGAAGGACAGCCTGTCAGCAAGGAAAGAAACCAGCCCCATGTAAGGGCTGAAAGCAGCTTCACCTTTTAAAGCTACAGGAAGAGGACAATGTGAGTACCCTCAACACCCCCTGGGCCTACAAGGGAGAGGGCAGTCAGGTGCCATACCCAACCAGTTCTCCCTGGGACATTATACCTATGTGTCTCGGAATCCATTGTCCTGGGTTAATTTTCATGACAGCCAGGTGGTTGAGGAAATTTTCATCTGGGGTCTGAAGAGGTTCAATTAACCACTTCAATACCGGGCACTTATACCCCCTTCCTACCCAGTCCAATTTTCCGCTTTCAGCGCTGTCTCTCTTTGAATGACAATTGCGTGGTCATGCAACACTGTACCCATATGAAAATATCTTTTTTTTTCACACAAATAGAGCTTTCTTTTGGTGGTATTTAATTGCCACTTAGTTTTTTATTTTTTTGCTAAATAAAACAAAAAATACCTGAAACTTTTGAAGAAAAAAAAACAAACTTTTCTTCATTTCTGTTATAAAATGTTGCAAATAAATAACAGTTCTTCATAAATGTATGGTCAAAATGTATTCTGCTACATTTCTTTGGTGAAAATAATAATAATAATTGAATTTGTATTTTTTTCAAATGTTTTTATTATTTTTTATATTTTTTATTAGATTTGTTCTTTTGTTTACTATTTTATTTTTCAGCACACTGTGACGAAAGTAATACAATGTTATCATAGTAACATTGAACTACTCTGGGCAAGTGATCAGGATTTTTTTTTTCCTTTTTAACACATTATGATTGCTAATACCAATGTATTTCATTGATATTTGCAATCATGTTACTGAATGAAACTGATTCATTCAGTCTTTTGTTGTGACTAGCTGTGACTGGGCAAAGCTGATCACATGATACAGATGGGCTGTGATTGGCCCTGTCTGTATTATATGACTGCCTTGACCAGTCACAGCTAACAACATAATTGTATACAATGGATGGCATGACAGGAAGCCATCCATTCTATACAATTGACATGTGATCTGCTGTGATTGGCCACAGCTTTTTGTTCATAGGAGGTTTGTCCTCCAAGTTGTTTCAGTTACATTGGGCATCCCATATACCCCTAGATCCCATTCAAGTTGTTAACCCCTAATAAAACAACAAAAAACAAGCTCATGGACTGTTAAAGCGGAGTTCCACCCAAAAGGGTTCCGCTTTAAAGATTGGTCCACCACTGCCCATTAAGGATTGGCACCCTTGGGGAGCGGGGGGGAAAAATGGGTACCCGAATTTGACAGGTACCCACTCCCACTTCCACAGCGATTGCCTAGGCGATCAGAAGCGGAAGTTGTCCTCCTACCCTCCCTCCCCGAAGTCTTGTGGGACACGTGACAGGTCCCAGAAGACAACGGGGCCATTCAGGAAGTGCAGCGCTACTCGCGCATGCGCAGTGGGCACCCGGCTGTGAAGCCGCAAGCTGTCACAGCCGGGTGCCCACACTGAAGATGCCAGCCTCCTGGATTACAGGGTGGCCGGTGAAACGGGCTGCGGCGGGGGTAACGCGGGATCATGGGACAGGTGAATGGCTGTTTTTAAAAGTCAGCAGCTACAGTTTTTGTAGCTGCTGACTTTTATTTTTTACAGATTGAGTGGAACTCCGCTTTAATGACTTTGGATGCAAGAGTGGAAAATGCATGTTGCCTGGCTGTGCAGGAAAATAGGGGGTGACAGCGGCTCTCAAGTAGGTAGTGCTTCACATGTACATTTCTTTGAACACACTGGTGAAGATTTCTTCTTTTCAGACTGTGAATGTTCCTTCTAATATGCCAGTTAACACCTATGTGTGCATGGCCACATAGGCTAACATAGAGGTCCTTTTACAGGCTGGAAAAAAAAATGGCAAATGCTCGGAAAGCAGCATTTTTTTAAGCCCAGTGTGCATGAAGCCTACAAAATGCTGCTTTTAAAGGCGTTTGGCATTTATTTTCTGCCTGTAAAAACACCACTATGTTAGCCTATGTGTCTATGCACACACAGGAGTTTATGGCCATATTAGAAGAGGAAAATTTACAGGCTAAAAAAAAACATCATCAGCATTTTCAGGAGAGGAGCTTTTCAGCAGAAAAAAACACGGAATGTGTATAAATGCTCATAAACAAGTGTGCAATACATGGCTTTTACTGATTTTTTTACAAATTATAAAAAAAAATAGAAGGGGATCTGTTCCCCTCCGTCTGGCTGGATTGGAGGGCTGTTGGGGGTAAATGGACAGCTGGTCCGTTTACCCCCAACTGCCCATAGATCAGAGTGAGCTGTGTCAATGTGAGGTCTGCTTAAGGGGAGCGGACCTGTAAACTCAAGGGGGCCTAAAAAAATGGAAAAAAAATGCAGCAACCAGCTCTCAGGACTTATAAGCAGCAATATATAATATTTTTTTGTTTTTGGGTTTGGATATCCTTTAAATGAATGGTTAGTATAGCACCACTGAAATAAAAAGTTGTGCACTTACTAAGCAAGAGTGATGGGGCAAAGCATCTTGGTGTGTGTGTGTGTGTGTACAAGAGTCTTTACAGACAAGTGGAGATATTTTCTGTATGGTAAACTGCAAAGACGACCTCTGAGACACCTCTGAAGTTATAATAACAATTAATATTCAGCAATAACTCCATACCCAGCCATGAATTAAAGGACTTGACATACTATAATGGGGACCTGACAACATTTCGTATTCCGAATAATTCCTAAACCAAAACGCGGTTTCCCATAGGACCACACAATTAATCCGTTCCGGAGGTCAGAAAAAAGTAAAAAAAAAAGTCTTTTATCTGTTCAAAACTCTTTATAAAGTGCACTTTAAAGGCATAAATACTGTACAGGGACATGATTAAAAAAAATTTGTAAATGCATTGAAAACCAATTAATCCATTCCGGAGGTCAGAAAAAAGTAAAAAAAAGTCTTATATGTTCAAAACTCTTTATAAAGTAAACTTTAAAGGCATAAATACTGTACAGGGACATGATTAAAAAAAAATCGTAAATACATTGAAAACCAATTAATTCGTTCCAGAGGTCAGACAAAAAGTAAAAAAAAGTCTTATCTGTTCAAAACTCTTTATAAAGTGCACTTTAAAGGCACAGGGCCGGTGCTATAAATCTCCCAGGTGCAATGCATCCTGGGGAAACTTGCTTCGTATTGTGAAAAAAATTTGTAAACCGAGGCATTATTTTCAATGGATTTTCATTTGTAAACCGAAAATTAATTTAACCGAGGTGTTCGTAAACTGAGGTATGCCTGTATTTTCTTCTCTGATCTTAATTCATGTGAGTCTCCAAGTTGCAACCTCTAATTTCTGAATGCCTGTAGGATAATTAGAACCAAGGCTCTCAAATATTTACCATGTTGTAAAGGAGGTCATTGTTATTATTAGTTATGGTATTTCTGGTTCAGGGAAAATGATCGGTGAAAGTCGAGTCAATGATTACAACATATGCCGTAGCAGGGTTGAGGTCAGGTGCTTCCAATGTTTAGGAAAATCCCAGTCTGAGTCACTGGGTGGAGTTTAGACAGTAAACACAGCTTAAATGCAATGTCTATCCGTCCCTGGTATAATCAGAAATGGCCATACACGTAAAATAAAATCTGAAATCTTCCTGGGCGTGTTTCTTTTAATATTAAAGTACCCATCTCTTATAAAAAATGCATATAGTGATTCTATGTAGTGTGGAATGCTAATAAAAGATTAATTCTGCGTGGTGTCGAAGCAAGACAAGCTTCCAGCTTAGGTAACTGTATATCTGTACGTCTGGTGCTGCACACCCAGCAAGAAGGCAAGATGCCCCTCCTTGGTGTCCATGTCTAGAAGTCAGTCTAGAGGTATTTGTAAACCCAAACATAATCATTATAGCTTACGATTTCACATGTCCTTACATAGGTCAACTTTATCATTTATAAAATTGCAGCTTTCGTTAAACTAAAACCTGGCGATACTGCCACGAAAGTTCTTGTGCAGGTATTTCCTGCTATAGACAACAATCTGTCCCAATTTACTGACTGTTCTGCTTTGTCCCCATCACACAATTTCCCAATACAGACTACAAGGGGCTGTGTCGCTGTACAACAGCAAATTTTATACTTCCCAATGGTTGGGAGAACCCAGCAGGGTATGTGTTAGACCTCTGCAGAGACCACTGCTTCCATACAGAGAGCAAGTGTTCTTCTCTACATCATGCTGGCAAGGTACAAGCGTTTCTACTTAGGCTGTAAACAAACTGGGCTCTTTCATACCATCTCACTAAGGTAACGTATTATTTACCACAACATGTGCATTGTTGTGATGCTGTGTCTTTCATCCTAAATTGCACCCCAATGCACCTAGTCGCCACAATTGCTTTGTGCTGTTAGAAATGCTGATTGCACAATTGTTGGTTTCTTGTGGTGTGCGTTCAAATGGATCGGCTGCTCTAGCATAACGCATGTTAATGTGCGTGCCTTTAACACACTGCAGCAGACCAAGCTGATTTGATCAGACCCCAAGACTCTGAACACCTTTCATTTTGATGTATTTAGCAGATGTAAACACTGGATTTAAAAAGTCCCAAACAAATGTGCCTGTTCTCACTGGCTCCTTGTTCTGACTTTCACAGATTACAAGATAGAATAGGGACATGCAAGTCAACAGGTAGAATGTGTGAGAGCTGTGAGAAACTCAGGAGATCACTCACTGGGAAGGTAAGTACTGAGTCTTCTTTTACAAGTACACTATATTGGAACATTCTAACCGTATGTCAGGGTTACTTTAAAGTGTTAATAAATCCAGGACCCTGCATTCACTATATTTGGTCTCCCACAGTACACAGAACATGGAAATGTAATTATCCTCACAAGACCTCCTGCTCTCTAGCTCCCTTGTCTCCTCCTTCCATGCTTGTCTCCAGGACTTCTCCAGACCTTCCCCCATCCTCTGGAACTCTCTACCCCAATTTATCAGACTATCGCCTACTCTGCTCACTTTTAGGCGATCTCTGAAAACCTATCTCTTCAGGGAAGCCTATCCTGCCCTCCGCTAATAATGGAATCTTCTACTCTTCCTACCAGTCCATCCCCCACAGCTATTACCTTTTGTACCACTAACCGCTCCCTCTTAGATTGTAAGCTCCAAGGAGCAGGGCCCTCCTATCCCTCTTGTATTGAACTGTATTGTTGCTGTATTGTCTCCCTTTATATTGTAAAGCGCTGAGCAAACTGTTGGCACTATATAAATCCTGTATAATAATAATAATTTTAGTAACTATAAACTGCTAAATACCTTGTCTCATCAGCAATATATAGAAGTCTTGGGAATTCTATCAGTGTCCAGCTGAGCACTGGTTAAAGCTTGTAGGAGGCGTTTTCATTCTGCTCTGACTGTCTATGAGGCTGCATAACCCCTGACCCTCTGTCTGGAGAGTGCTGATTTGCCCTGTGCTGATCACATGAACCCTCCCAAAGAAAAGAAAAACTCTCTAGCCATACACACTAAACTGAGCATGCACAGAATGGCTACAGTTCAGTCTGTCTTATCAGGAGATAAGACATGGACATTTGAACAAGAGGAGGTGCAGAGAAGTCAAGATCAAATGGCCTTTTTACACAATACAGAGGATTAAAATAAAAAATTAGGATTGAAAAAAAAAAAAACTCTCTAGCAATACACACTAAAAAAAACTCTCTAGTAATACACACTAAACTGAGCATGTGCAAAGTGTCTCCTAGAGCTCTGTACTATCAGCAGATGGATTGGAAACAGTAGAAGAAGGGGAAGATCAGAGAAGACAGGATCAAACAGCCATTTTACACAATGTGGGGATTAAACCCTTAGGTTCCACAGAGAGCATAACAAGCATGCTGTCAGTATTAGTAGCTGAGGCTGCAGTCTGTGAACAAGAGTTTCTGACTGCGTCTGATCACTTGCTGCAATGATCATTTATAGAAACAATCCTGGGAATGAACTAAACACTCTATGCCATTATAATGATGCAGGAAACTGTCAGAAGTGGCATGTACCACATTAACTAAGCTGATGGACTTGTTTCAAGTCTATCTGTGCCACCTGTGCCAGTTTATATTTCAGAGTGAAATAGAAACTAGCACAGGCCTGTTACTGAGTCACAGAGGGAATATGGCAGTTTTCCATATAGAAAACTGACATGGATTCCAACGCGGTCGTACAGGATGTGGGCTGTCAATAAACAGCTCACGTTTCTCTCTGTGCCCGTGCAGTGCCTACACTACATGAGCAGAGCCTTCACAAGGCTAAAGCAATTGGAAACCCTCACCTTGTAAAACAACTCATACAGTTTAGCAAGTTATGAAGAGTTAAGCAGTAAGTAATGTAGCGTTCAGAGGTCAGTAGTAAGTAGTACAACATTCAGAGATCAATAATAAGTAATTTAGAGGATAGTAGTAGGTAATACAGAGTTCAGTAGTAATTAATGCAGAGTTCAGGAGTCAGTAGTAAGAAATGAAAAAGTGTAGTAGTGAGTAAGACAGAGCTCAGGAGTAAGTTGGGCAGAGGTTAGTAGTATGGAAAGCACTGTGCAGTGCAGGAGTCAGGAGTAATGAAGATTGCAAAGGTCAGTAGCAAGTAATTCAGAGTGCAGGGGTGAGTAGCATGTAATGCACAGTACAGGGGTCAGTAGTATGTAATGCAGAGTGCGGGGGTCAGTAGTATGTAATGCAGAGTGCGGGGGTCAGGAGTATGCAATACAGAGTGAAGAGGTGAGTCGTATGTAATGCAGAGTGCAGGATTCAGAAGTAAGTAATGCAAAGTTCAGAGGTCAGTAGTAACACAGTGTGCTGGGGTCAGCAGGTTGTAATGTAGAGGTAAGAATGGTCTCTTCTTACATTAGCGATGAACACTGAATATGATGGTTGCTTCTACTTTGAAGACATCCTTAGCTGTGGGCTGTGAAGGCGTGGTCTGCATTTAAGAGCTGCATGGATTGGTAGCAGGCTGAGCAAGTGAGGACTGATAGGCAGAAGGGTGTTTAGAAGGTAAGGGTCTGAATTGCATTTTAGGGTGTGAGTGGCATAAGAAGCTGGTAACAATCTACTTGTCACATATCCGTGATTGACCAGTTGCCAAGACTGGCCTCTTGCACCCATATGGACCTAAAATCGTACTCGTAAGGGCTCTTGCACATGGACACCATGAATTTATTTATTCAGGATTTTTCTTTTTTTTATCTGAATCTGATCTGAATGCAGCCCATTGCTCTCAATTGGCTTGTACACACTGGCATGTAAATATCAGCAAACTAGTGCAGCATTTAGGTTAGTGAAAAAAAAAAAATACAAAAATCAGAGTTACTGGTTGGTATTTTACACATGTACACGCAGGTACATGCAGACACATGCATAAATAAAAGCTCCTCTCTATTATTTAGCATTGTGGGAGCTATAATTATCTTCATGCACATATGCACATATACATGCATTTATGCATGTAAACGCATACACTATATGGAGCATGCTCTTTTTTGGGGGGGCAAGAGCTATCTGCCAGGAGGATTTAACTTTCATACATCAGTATGGTTTGCAAGGACCATTCATAAGCTTTAACCACTTCAAGTCCAGACACTTTTACCCCCTTCCTGTCCAGGCCAATTTTCAACTTTCAGCGCTGTCGCACTTCGAATGACAATTGCGCAGTCATGCAACACTGTACCCATATGAATTTTTTAGCATTTTTTGAGACAGATAAAGCTTTATTTTGGTGGTATTTATTCACCACTGGGATTTTTATTTTTTTTGCTATGTAAATGAAAAAGTTCAAAAATTTTGAAAAAAAGTGTTTTTCCTATAAAATTTTGCAAATAAATAATATTTCATCATAAATCTTGGCCAAAATTTATTCCGTTATCTTTTTAGCAAAAAAAAAAAAAACCCAAATTAGTTTATAACCAAAATTTATAATTTTTAAACATTTATTTTTTACATTTTTATATTTTTTTTATATTATTATGTATGGTTTTTTTTTGTACATACTGTCACCCTAGCAGTACAGTGTCACCATGGTGACACTATACTACTTGTGGGGGGTGATGAAGATTTTTTTTTTGTTTTTTTTTACACTGATTGCTTTTATACCCCTAAAGGCTGTAAAAGCAATAATTTCTCCTCTCTGGCTGCATTCTTGCAGCCATTGAGAACTACTGTGTGAGCTGTGATTGGTCACAGCTTGTCACATGGTACAAGGCTGTTGTGAATAGCCGTGTACCATGTGACCTCTGTGATCATTCTCAGATTTCACATGTAGTAAGCAATGATGTCAGAAGTGACATCTTGCTTACTACTCTGCATGTGATCACTGATTGGCCAATCAGTGATCACATGATCGGGACCTCGCAGAGAGGTCCCATACGACGATTGGTGTTCCACTGTGTCCGGAGGACACAGCGGGCACCGGATTGCGGTGCTGGGCGCTCCCAGGGAGTGCACACAAGCAGGGTGCGGGGAGGCTGTTTATAAATGGCCACCCGGCCCTGCACTGCCACCGTCTAGCCGTTTATATATAACAGTCGGACGGGAGGTGGTTAAAGTGGTTATAATGCCTAAACATTTTTTACCTCAAGGTGCTAGTAAACTAAATTTTTTATTTTTACCTACAGGTAAGCTTATAATAAAGCTATAGGTAAAATGAATATCTCCTAAACGTGCACTGCTTAGGAGATATTCTAGTAAGCGGCAGCCGGTGACATTACAGCCGGTGACATTACAGCCGATGACAGCCGATGAATGGCATACTCATGCCGATTCTTCAGAGCTCCCTGCCTCGTGCCTGCAATGCATGCTAGCATATTATGCCTTTACCTTGCAGGGGATTTTTTTTTATATTTTTTTTTACTTTTCTACCACTTTAAAGAGATACTAAAGCTAAAAATGTTTTTTTTTTTTACCTTCATGAATTCCTGCATTCCTTGCTTTGAAGTGTTACTAATCCTAGGACCCTACATTCACTCCATCTGGTCTCCCACAATACACACTACATGGAAATGCAATTATTTTAGTAAATATAAACTGATAAATGCCTTTTCTCATCAGCAGTTAGAGCAGTCTTGTGACTTCTATCAGTGTTCAGCTGAGCACATGTTAAAGCTTGTAGAAGGAGTTTTCTTTCTCCTCTAGGAGGATGCAGAACCCCTGACCTCTGCCTGGACAGTGCTGATTGGCCCTGAGCTGATCACATGCACTCTTCTAAGAAAAAAAATCTCTTTAGCAATGCACACCAAACTGAGCATGTGCAGAGTGTCTCCACATGATATGTCTTTTCAGGAGATAAGAGGGGGGGGGGGGCACTGGAAGAAGGGGAGAATCAGAGAAGTCAGGATCAAACAGCCTTTTTAAACAATGCAGATTATTAACCCCTTAGGTTCCACAGTGAGTATAACAAGCATGCTTTACTGCATAAACAGACTGATTTTACTGCTGTGGGTTTAGTAACACTTTAAGGTAAAAAAATATTTTTTAATTCTCTTCCCCTTCCCCCATTCCCTGTGTGAAAGGGAAGGGAAGGGAGAATAGATCCAGCACTGTGGAAGGCTGCATCTATTCTATCCTCTCTTCCTCTTCACACACAGCACTTGAGCAGCAGCAGGAGCCATTGGCTCCTGCTGCTGTCAATTAAATGCAGTGAGGAGGAAGTCTTGCTGTGTGAGTGTATGAAGCTAGCAGACATTGTGTGCCCCCATAGCAAGCAGCTTGCTATGGAGACGCACAAAGAAAAGAAGGAGCCAAGTTTGCTGGCGGGGGACCTGAGAAGAGTCGGATCAGGGCAGCTCTGTGCAATACGACTGTACAGAGCAGATGAGTATAACATGCTTGTTATTTTAATTAAAACAAAAAATTAGACCTTACTTGATCAAAACCAGTGACGAGGGGAGCAGGTGCGGGGGGTACGCGCCGCACCGGGTGACACCTACCGCACGGGTTGACACCGGACCCGCTCCATGAAAAGCTAAGTTGTAAAGCAAGCTGGCGATCCCCGCAAGATGGATCCGATTCATCCTGCGGGGATAGTCGGCATTCTTTACAACTTACCTTTTCGTGGAGCGGGTCCAGTGTCACCCCGTATGGGTTGCATGCCGACGATCCCCGCGGATTGGGGAGCATAATGGATCGGAGTCCAATCCATTATGCTCAATCTTCAGATCCGATCCATTCTGCAGGGATCGTCGGAGGGGGTGTCACCAAGTGTTACTGCACCGGGTGACACCAACCCTAGGGACGCCCCTGCAAGGGAGCAGGCGGTGGGGCCAAGCTCCACTGTGGTTCTCTATGGACCCAGGCAATGGGGCTCAGGAGAGAGCCTGCAAGAGTGCCCCCATAACAAGCCGCTTCCTATGGAGCACTCCTTGGGTGGAGCCAGAAGTGCCGGCGGGAGACCCGAGAAGAGGAGTTTTGGGGCAATTCCATTATTTTTCCACTTACTATCACTTTATGCTATAGATTAACAGGCTCATAAGTACTAGCGTATACGGTTAGATGCACATTTGTTTTGGTGACTGTGTTCATCTATGCATATGAGCATTCTGATCATTGTTTGTTTGTTCTGACGTTCCTTAGTACAAGTATGGGGTGTGGCTGTGCAAACAGCACAAAGGAATGTGGTATTACCTTTCTAATATAATTGGGAGTGGTTGTACTCTCTACAGGTGCACTGTCACTTTAACCTGGCATTCCACAGTACAAAGCAACTGAGCACAAATACCTGGAGACCTTTGGTACCACACAGTGACGGCGGTGTATGAAGGGGACACACAGTGACACACACTCACAAGGACTCTGCGTGACAATACAAGGAGGAATTACTAGTGGCTGCAGCTGACCTGAATCCACTGGGCAAGGTACTGTTGGGGGATAATATGCACTATGGTGACACCTCTGCAGTCATGGAATCTAGATCACAATCCAGATCTGATCTAGGATCTTGAACTCTAGAAGTAAACTGGGGGATCTGTCACATTGTGATCATCAGTCACTGACAGTGTGAACAGTTAATCACATGGTAACAGAAAGAGCTGTGAATATACAATGGCAGGAACAAAGGACTTCAAAGTTTTAAAGTATGATGTGAAAAAAATCAATATTATTAATGTCAGTGTACTGTCTATGTGTAATAATTAGTAGTAGAATAATGTTCTGGGTTCGCCATTGAATCATGCAGAAAGTTTAAATGATACCCCCTACTGGCTAACATAGTATTATTTATTTCAGGTACTTATATAGAGCTGTTAATTTACACAGCACTTTACATATATACTGTACATTCACATCAGTCCCTAACCCTCAAGGGGTGTACAATCTAAGGTCCATAACTCACATTCATACACATACTAGGGCCAATTTAGACAGGAGCCAATTAACCTACCAGCATGTTTGTGGAGTGTGGGAGGAAACCCACGCAGGCACAGGGAGAACATGCCAACTCCAGGAAGGTGGTGCCCTGGTTGGGATTTGAACTAATGACCTTAGTACTGCCAGGCAGAAGTGCTAACCATTTAGCCAACTATGCTGCCGTACTAAACCCAGCACCAAAAATGTTGCAAATATTGCAGCTTATCAATCTTTAGATGTTGTGGCTGCATCCGTTTTCTTTTCTTTTTTTTTCTATGGTTGAATTGGATGGACTTTTGTCTTTTTTCAGCCAGACTAACTATGTAACTATGTTAGGCATTTTCCCCTGTGTTCTCACCTGGTGATCTGGTCAGTAACACACCTTCTGTATTAGAGTGCCCCCCACTCTGCATGAAAGAGCACAGAGGCACCTTTGGACAGCAGCATTGTCAGTCTGGGGGGGGGGTGTTAGATGCACTAGCAGATTTAGATACACTAAACAAATTGAAGCTTAACTCCAGCTAACACTTTATAAACAGTTACAGCAGGTTTTTTTCTCTCCTGGGCTAATGGTTTTACATGACTAAAAGATGACCATTGTAAGAACCCCTACCAGTGGTAAATGGTTTGCCTCATCCTTGCTGGAGAGCTTGTTCTTTCGAAAAACAACAGACTTACTGGCTGATTTACCAGACGAAAATAAAGGAAAGAAAGCCTAAAAAAGAACCCTATTGCAGTAGTAGTCACGTAAGAATTGGTATGCTTTTCGATTTAATGTTTGATTTCTGCTTTAATTAATAATGCAGATTTTGGGGATTCCATAGATCCCTTCATCAGGATTGATTCATTTTTGTAGATGGTTCTGAAACCCACATAGTTACAAACATAAATTATTTTGAAAAATACAACAGTTTTTTTGGACACACGTGAGTGGTAAAGGCTGTTGTAAAGTATGAGGCTACAGTGTGAGTGTATCATAATGTGACAGTATGGTGATGAGTATTACAATATGTAACTGTGCTGTGAGTTTACAGTTTGATACGTCTGTAGAAATTTATAATGTAACTGGACCCCACTATGATAGTTTTATATAAGTGATCACTGCTGTGAAAGGATCAGCACAAATAAAAGGTTTCATTTCTGTTTTAATTTTGTCAAATGCATAGGGAAGGCAAAATTACAGAGGTATTAAGGGGTGGGGGCTGGGGGTGGAGGAGGGGGGGTCATGGCCTTTAAATGGATCTTAAGGGTTATGAAAGCTCTTTCCTCTGTCAAAAATGGTCCCATTATTATTCTTTATTCCCATGAAAAAAAAAACAGAATATATAATGTGACAGTGCATAAAAATGATCAAATGCAAAGAGGCTATATGAAAAAAACCTAAACCATCCTAAATTAGGGTTGCCACCTCGTCCCTTTAAAACTGAACACATATTAATTACACAGATTCTATGGCTTACTAAGGTGTCAATTAAATTCACCATATCTGCAAAAAATTAGCCTCAGAACCTGTGTAATTAATATATGTTTGGTTTTAAAGGGATGAGGTGGTAACCCTACCCGAAATACACCCAAAACACACTATCCAAATAAAAAAAGTGGATCTTTTTTTTTTTCCAAGCAAACTCTTCTTAAGCAGCTCAGTGAGCATAACTGACATGTAATGTGATTGAATATCCATAAATTCAAGCACCCATTCCAGATTTCCAGATATCAAATAATTCAGAGTGCTTAAAGGGTTAGCTCACCTTTACCAAATAACTGCCTATGCAGATAATGGGTGTTTGAAGATAAAAAATAAACTGTGTATCTCTGACTAAAGCTGAATAATGCCCTTGCTATAGGTGTTTGCCATTTATGTACCTCATGAAGCCTGACTGGAATACTCCATGGATGTTGCTAAATGAGGCCTAGTCAATACTGCTCACCTCCACCATCACAGGAGTGAGCTCTCAGATGCTGAGCTAAGAGCCTCTGTAAAAGGGGAGAGAAAGAGCATGTGAGGGGGCCTGAATCAGAAAAAAAAGTCACTCCTGTGATGGTGAAGGTGAGCAGTAATGACTAGGCTTCACTTAGCAACATCCTAGGAGTATTCCAGTCAGGCTTCATGAGGTATATAAATGGCCTACACCTATAGCAAAGGCATTTTTCAACTTTAGTCAGAGCTGTACAATTTGATTTTATCAACAAATGCCCCTTATCTGTATAGACAGTTCTTTGGTGAAGGTGAACAAACCCTATAAGAGAAATGATGGATGGCACCAGGGCTGTGGATAATGGGGTACCACCAGTCCTCCTGTACAGAGCCCAGGCCAGCGGGGGGCCCAGGCAGACAGCTGGGTGAATCGGTTGTGGGTGGAGAGGGTGCTCTGAGGGGGGAGGGGGGGCAATTACTGGAACCGATCCCCTGTATGGTTCTCTCTGCAGCAGCTGAAAGCCTGCTTCTCCTCCTCTCCCTCCCACTGGCCTTCAGCTGCTGCAGAGAGAGCCATACAGGGGATCAGTTCCAGTAATTGCCACCCCCCCACTACATCCATCCCCCCCCCCATGCACCATATGTTTCCTCCATCTGCCCAGGTCCCCGTGTGACCTTACCCTTGCAGTGCTGCCAGCTTCCCTCCTCTCTATCTCACTAGCAGCTGCCAGCACACAATTGGATCCTTCAGGATGGAGAGTGGAAGAAGGATCCAGTAAATACAGTATGTCGTATTTAGCAGCCCCTTCTTTTTCTGAATGAACACGAGTGATTGGTACCAATCATTTACTGTGTTCATTCATAACTGAAGCATAGTAAACTGTGTTTTTTTTTTTGGGGGGTGGGGCCCTGTCAGGGTGGCTGTATGGGGCCCCATGGTTTCTAACAGCAGCCCTGGATGGCACCATCAGAAATAGTTATTTATTCCAG